ACATCACCTACATATACATAAACAAGTGGTAAACAAATGTATTAAAATAGAAATACTAAAACTATAGTGGTGCAACAGAATTTTTGTAACTTGCACTGAATTCTATTTATACAAATGTTAGAAAGCATCAACAGTTCCTTTTGACATGTTTATACATTTCCATTTTTTGTAATAATATAGAATAAAATATGCTTTATATCACTGAATAGAAAATATGCTGGGTGAAGCAGATCTAGAAGATTTGTCTGAACCTATAAAATCTCCATCCCAACAGAATACTGCTCAAAACGTTACACATTTTATGGTTTGTAATTCCGTCACAATTGTGTGATTATTAAAATAATACAGTGTTCTTTGCCATAAGGCCATACTAAAATAAAAAGATTTAACCCAGCTACAAAAAAGTTCACTGAACTTAAATTAAAATACTTGTAAACATCTTTGCAATATGAAATATAATTTTTCAAGTCAAAAAAGAATAAAATACTTCAATCTGTATTAATGCAATTTCTCTTTAAAACTTTTAAAGGTTTTTAATATATAAGAGATATGTTACAGTTTCTTTAATAAAGCTGCAGTATCCTGGTTTCACAGGAACTCCTGGCCCTTCCACGAACATTCAAAAAGGATGCACTGGCGTCCCACAATTAGCATGGGAGGAATCCACCCAGAGAGGAGAACACACGAGACAGTCCACACATCCCATAGCACGATTATTACCACTCCATCATCATCACTGTTCATTTTTTCCTACTTTAAGAAAATGGAAAACTTGTGGGGTTCTCTTTTTTTGGAAGCTTCCTATTAAGTACAGTGTAAAAACTATCATCACTAGAATGTCGCCGTTCCTATTATTTATAGAGCATGCATTTTGGGTGGTTCATATTTCCCAGGCTACAGTACTCTCGATGCAAATATGCTAGCAAGTTCCTTTGTTCCAAAATTACATTTTAAAAGTGAGCGGATACTACAGCTTTCCAAGCTCCTGTCGATCTCAGAGTGTGGGGAGGGTGGAGAGCAGACGGTGGGGCACCGGAAGCCGGCTGCCAGGTGCTGGGGAGCAGGCCCGAGAGGAAGGGACCCTGTCCCACGCACGGAGCGCGCAGGCCCGGCAGCCTTCAGGAGAAGATGCGGATGGCCTGCGTGACCGCGGCGTGGCAGACTGGGCACTCGGGCTCGCTCTTCTCGCAGATGCGGTTGGCGCACTCCATGCAGAAGAGGTTGTGGCCGCAGGGTACCAGCGCAGCGATCACTTCGCTCTCGAAGCACACGGAGCAGTCGCGGCTGCCCTTCCGCCGCAGCCCCGAGGAAGAAGAGGAAGAGCTGGAGGACGAGCTGGAGGACGAAGAGGACCCCGACGTGTCCGAGGACTGCAGACCGGGCAGCTGCGCCCCCAGCCCGTTGGCATAGGCAGCATAGGCCAGACCACCTCCACCTGGGTCGCTGCGCACCCGGCGAGCCAGGTGGTGCTCGCCCGCCCCCGGGGCCATGTGCAAGGGCGGGGACAGGCGCGGGCAGCTGGTCCCCGGGTGCAGCCTTCGGTGCACCAGGAGACCCAGGTTGGCGTTGGAAGGCCCGCCGGCGCCACCCCCGGGGAAGACCACAGAGGACGACGAGGCGGACGAGGACGCGGAGGAGCAGGAGGAGGATACGGGGGCCGCGGAGCCGCCTCCCGGGGACCGCTCGAATTGCGCCCAGAGAAGGGGCGCGCCAGGAGGGGGCGCGGGCGCCGGATCGAAGGTGGGCTGCAGCTCCGAGCAGCCCTCGGGAGACTGCGCCGGGGCGTCCCCGGCCGGATACGTGTACCCATTGCCGTTGTTGTTGTTGTTCCCGTTGTGCGAGAAGCTGAGCGCGGGGCTGGGGGGGCTGTAGTCCGCCAGGCGTGGGGTGGCAGCCGCGCTGCCGCTGGTCCCCCCGCCAAAGTAAGAGTCTGTGGAGGCGCTGCCAAGCGAACTGGAGCTGTCGTTGCGGTAGCTGGAGAAGGGCTTGCGGCCGGGGGTGGGCGTGATGCTGGGAGTGGGCTTGCTCCAGAGGCTGCCCGGGCCGGACCCGCCGGACCCGTGGTGCAGGTCGAAGCCCACGTCGGTGCCGTTGGCGTGGAAATCGTTCTCGTCGGTAAGCTCGACGATGCCACCGGTGCGCAGAGCGATGTGCGCCTCTATCTCCTCCCGCGCGCGGTCCACATTCTCCGGCATACCTGTCACCTCGAACACTGGCTCCTTGTCGCGGCTGGGCGTCACGATGTATGTGTGCGTCTGCTGCTGGATGCGCTTGATCGTGGCGCCTTTGGGCCCCACCACGAGCCCCACCACGCGGTAGGGCACCCGCACCTGGATGGTGGTCTGCCCCGGCAGGTTTGGTGGCCCGGGCACTGCGCCGTTGAGCGCCGTGTTTTTATTCCGCGAGGCTCGGATCATGGAGAAGTGCTCCGCCGCAGAGATGATTTCCCTCCGAGCCATGGCCACATCTTCCTTCCTGCCCGTCACAACAAAGACAGGCTCCTCCCCGCGCACTGGGGTCTTGATGTAAGTGTTGGTCTTCGCCCGCAGCGCTTTGATTTTACAACCTGAGAACCAGGGCAGAGGAGAGGGAATGGGAGAGAGACACGCCCATTATCCCGGGTAACCGCGGAGACCGGGGACCGCGGGACTCCCGACGCCAAGAAGGGGGCGTCTCCTCTCCGACCGAGGCTGATCCGCGGCTGGGCGGCGGGTTCCACCCTCGAGGCGCTCGAGGAACAGCCCATTGGCTGCCTGGCCCTCCTCCGGGGACTGCAGTTGTCCCAAACCAAGCCCGAGAATCCCAGAAAAGTCACCCCGGGAGATGCGGCTGGGACCTGGCCGGGTGCATCCGCCTCCTGAAAGACCCCGAGCGGGGCTGGGGGAGGCAGCCGCAGCGGCGACCGAGAAGCGCGGGAGGCTTGCAGGGGGGGCGCAGTCCTGAGACCCATTGTTACTGCGCTGCGCTCCATTCCGCTTTGCAGAAATCCAGAATCCTCCTCCCCTCGGATGCTCACTCCTCCTCCTGAGCCATCCCAAAGGACCGACCAGAGGCCCCCCTCCCCCCGCATCTCCTATTTAAATCACCGTTCCCCGGGTGGGCTGAGTGGGGGGCGTCAGGGGAGAAGGCTGTGGTCCCAGCAGAAGAAAGTGCGTCCTGCGTGGTGGCCGCGCGGCTCTGGGAGGCAGCCTGCCTGCACTTTCTTTGTCTGGGGCGCTAGCTCTAGCGCGCCTCTTCCTCCTCCCCAGGCCCCCCGCGCCGCGGACTGCGACCCGCGCATCCCCGCTCCCCATCCCCGCCGGACCCACCTTGCCTCCCTACGATCTCCGCGACGTGCTCCGAGCTGGGCACCGGCACGCACTCGGTCATGTTCACGCTCTTCTTTCGCGGCTCGCTGTCGTACAGAGACGCGCCCTCGTCGCTGTCCAGACCCAGCAGAGAGAGCTGGTCGAGAGCAAGCTGCAGGGCTCGCTGGTCGTCCAGGGTCTCGCCGCCGCCGCCGCCGCCACCGCCGCCGCCGCCGCCGCCTCCCCCGCCGCCGTTGCGCTCCAGGTCTGCGAACAGCGAGCTGGGCATCGCGCAGCCTTGCGCGCCGCGCCCCCGCCGGCCCTCGGCTCCCCGGGCGGAGCGAGGTGCCGGCACAAAGGCGGCCGGGACGCGGGCGGTCAGGGGCGGGAAGGCCGGCCAGTCGCCGAGGGCGCCGTGGTCCTCTCCGGGCGCCGGCCGTACGCACCGGGCAGCAGCTGCAGGAGCCCCGCTGGGGTCCCTGCCCAGGTCCGCCCGCGGTCGGGGTGGGCGCAGAGCTGGAGCCGCGGCCGCGCGTGGCCCGGAGCGCCCGGCTGGTGGCCACAATGCCAGCGCCCAGCGAGCAGGCGAGCGGCAGCGGCGTTTCTTGAAGGAGCCCCTCCCCGGCTCCGGCACTGCGCCCGCCCTCGCTGCGCGCCTCGCCTCGCCTCCTCTCCCGCCCGCCACTGGACTGAGCTCTGCAGCCAGACGGCTCCGGAGGGGGACGAGGAGGAGCAACGTCACCGGCGGGAGCTGACACTACAATGCTACTGACACTATCGCTGGGGGAGGCGATTGGCGCGCGCCGGGCCGGGGGCGGGCGGAGGCCGCGGGCTGCGCGCGGAGAGCAAGCCCCCCCCCTGCACCCGCCCCTTCCTCGCCCCTCCCCCCCGCCGCCGCGAACGCCTCTCTTTGTTGTCTGTTGCGGGACAGGCAGGCGCGGGGCGCTCATGTGCACCTATCCGCCGGGGACAGTCGCTATCCCCATGTCGTCCCCCTCGCCCGGTGAAAAAAAGGAAACTCGGATGCCAGCGGCCCGGCTCCCCAAAAAGCGGTGCTTAGGAAGTCCCGTTAGTGCTCCTAAATAAACCATCAGTGCAGCCGCCACTAGGAGGAGGCCTGTCAGCCACTCGAAAAGGCGGCCCGGGCCCTGGGACGCGGAAACGGGACTCAAGGCCCCAGGACGCACGGGCACAGCGGCTCCAGAGCGGGCTGGAACGAGACAAAGGGAGGTCCGCCCACGCCGCCACCCGCGCGTGCGCCCGAGCCTGCATTTCTGTCCCCTCGGGCACTTGGCCCAGCTGGTTTTGGAGATGTGGGTCCCAAAGCCAGAGGCCGAGGCCGGCTGCGGTGAGATCCACGCTCGCCAGACCGCCGGAGACCCAGAGAACGCAGGATGCCAGGGTTCTGGATTAGCCCGGCGTTAGGGCCGCGACCCCTCGGGCTGGGACTCGCGCACGAGCGCCGCGGGACACCAGCCCGCGCGCCAGCTGGGGGCGCAGGCGTGCGCGCGCGCGCGCGCGCGGGTGCCCGCGCCCCTCCCCGCCCCGAGGCCGGGCATGCGCAGTACTCTCCAAGGCGGCTCCGCCGCTCTTTGTGCGCTCCTCGGGCGGGGCAGGCGCGCTGCGCCCCCTCCCGGCCCTGACGGGGATCAACTCAGAGAGAGCGCCACCCGCTGCCGGGAGGGCGGGGCCGGCCGTGGGCTCCTGCGCGTCTCCCTGCGCGCTCGCCCCGAGGTTCTGCGCGCTCCTCTCCTTTGTTCGGGGACCCGCCGGGCACGTCCCGCACCGCGGCCGGGCTGCGGATTTCGGAGTTTGCGGATGTCCGCGCGCGGGTCGCAGAGATCCCGGGGCGATCCCGAGGTCTCTGGGTGACCGCTGGACCCCAGGTGTGCTCTGCAGAGCGGGGAAAACAATAGGTGTCCTGCCCTTTCCAGGAGTGCCCTGAGGATTAGCTGGGATGGGGGTCGCGGGTTACTGTGACAGGGACATGGGTAGACGGTTCCTCCCAGGCCGGTGCCTTCGGAGTACCGGGGGACCCCGTCCAACGCTGGCCTGGAGCTGTCTCGGGGAGGAGGTGCTGATTATTTCCTTGGGGAAGTGAGGCTTAGAAGCCACTTACACTGGTTATTTCCTCAGGATGTTTATGTTATATGCGCTTGGTGTTGTTCTTGAAAGAGAATACAATGAGGGTGGAGGGGTGGCGGGTGGGGGATGGTGTCAAGTCCCTCGTGAAAGCCACCACCTACAGCGCCTGGAGGGAATCCCTGTATTTTTTACCTGACTTAAGGATTCTGAGCCCAATTAATTTGGGACTGAGGTGGGGAATGGAGGATGAGGAGGAAAGGGCGGTGGCCCAGAGGCCCCAAGTGAGGCCGGCGGGGCGGGGGGGAAAGCCCTCTGCGTCCGCCATTTTGGC